CTCAGTAGTTCATTGTTATTCAAACAATAATTTAAATTTAACTTTCGAGTAAAAGTGATGATTTGACATTTCCCAACATTAAGGACCATTTTATTTCGTGCACACCATTGTGAAATCATGTCAAGATCCTGTTGAAGATTTAAAGCATCCTGTAAACTAGTTACTTCAGAGTAAATTCTCATGTCATCAGCATACAACAAACATCGACTCTACAAACGATCGACCAGGTCAATTATAATAATAACAAAGAAAAGCGATCCCAAATGCGATCCCTGTGGCACTAAAGAGGTAATCAAAACAGGTGAAGATGTTATACACTTCAATGCAACGAGCTGACTCCTACGCAAGAGATAGGACTCCAGCCACCGCAACAAACATCCATGCGCACCGAAGGCTTCAAGTATTTCACAAAGAATGAAATGATCAACCCTATCAAATGTCTTCGAAAAATCCGTGTATATTGCATCTACCTGTTTATTCTGCGCAACAGCTGAACACAAATATTTTTTATATTCCAATAAGTTTGTGGTGGTAGACTTATTCCCAATGAAACGTGCTGCGAAGGTGAAAGTAAGGGCCCCACATGACTATACAATACGCCACTGACAAGAGATTCGAATAATTTGGTGATGCATGACAGCAAACTAATTGGTCAGTAGTTTTTGCATTTTGACTTGTCTCCTGACTTATAAACAGGAATAATGTGTGCGATCTTTCAAAAATCAGGGAATATACCCTAGCACAGTGAAGCATTGAAAAGCAAAGCAAGCGGAGTAGCAAGCAAGCCTCCACATTTCTTCACGAATAATGAATGCCTTATTAATGTCTAATTTTTTAATTTTCAGTATGACTTCAGATTCCTTTATAGATATGCTACTTAAAGATGAGTTATACTTCACGTCTTTCACTGTCCGAGGTCTATCAACAAACAATGAAACAGATGAAGCATCGTCAGCTGACTCCTCGAGAACCAAACTAAAGCATGTTGAAAACAATTCACACACACTCTTATGACCAGTCGCAATTGTATTCCCACACCTAATAGATTGAGGAATTGCATTTTTCGAAAGCCTTCTGTTATTTACATAATTCCAAAAGTATTTCACTTTATCATGCAAAGCGTCCTCCACTGTTTTTATGTAATATAACATTCTCTTATTAGTTTTTTGCTGCGCCTACACAAAAGGATAAACGTGTCAAAGTCTCGCGGGATTCCATATTTCTTAACTAATTTATGGAATTTAAGCTTTTCTTTGATACAACACTTCAAATTTTTATTAAACCATGCCGGGAACTCATTGTTACGGACGCTAGACTGTGGCGTAAATTCAAAAAGACCCTATTCAGATTATCGTAAAATGCTTTTATGTTAACATTCACATCGTCAGAAGTAAATATTAATTTAATTTATTTTTTACTTATTGTTTTTATATAATCTTTAGTCGCCTTTCATTAGGAATATTTATTTTGACATAATTTTTTATCTAATGGAATTTTATTCGAATTTTAAGATAATGAACAACTAAATTATGAGATGTTTTTAATTTTAAATTATTGTTAATATTATATTCTCCTCTACATATTGCAATGCCCTTGTAGGGCGTCACATGTATACCTAAAACTTAGTTATATCTCATTGTTTGTAATGTGACACGCAATAAATATTTTGATTTGATTTGATTTGATTAAAGAGAGAGTGCCAATCCCAACTGGATTGCATACTTGACTTTAGAATAATCACACTTATGAAAGTTAGGACACCTTGTAAACTTCTTTAAATCAGGTTTCAGAGTAAGATCACTATCAACACGGACAAGCAAACCAGGATGGTGTATGTCTAAGGATACAAGTGGATCGGCTTCCCGAACCTGAATTGAGTACGACGAGGAGAGTACTTGATCAAGAAAACGACCATTAGCATTGCAAATGCCATTGTATTGCTCTAAGTTACACGACGATACATAATCGAGGAAGGAGACAGATTTCATGTCTTGGGGGTCTATTACAAATATTGACACAATAAAAATGAATTATTTCAACAAATAATATTTTAAGAGCCAAAGCCAAATTAAAAGTTCGCACTAATTTTCGTAACCTACTCCTAAGTTTTTTCGACCTTTAGATACATATAGCGCCATCTATGCGTCTATGGCTTTAGCTAGTGAGAGGAGAATCGATATGATACTCAATATAAACCACGTTAAAATGTATTTGCTGATAACTACCACTAGGAGCGCTGTCCATCGATATTCCTAAGCGATATTACAGAAATAATATCTGTGAAAACATAGTTGATATGTAGCAAGTTTATATATTTTACTGGAGATTACATTCCCATTATATTCTAATGAGGACGATAAATTTGTCTCTTCTTTTACTCATTCATTGCTACCAACATCCTTTTGTATGAAGTGATATTTGGAAGGTATCGATATGTGAATTTGCAATGAGGAAGAATTTAAAAATAAAAAGAAAGCACCAAAAAAGCACCCTCACTATATGGCGATTCTAGTAAAAATTGATTTTTGCAGGAAACGCATGGGTCAAGTCAAAGATAGTCATTTTTCGTTTAACTATTAAAAATACATACATAACATACCTATTAAAAACTGAAATTCGCAAAGTTCGAAACTTTGATATCAATACAATTACGAAAAATTTCAAATAGAATTAGTTGTTGTTTATTGAGTTTTAATAACTAATTTACTTTTGTAAATAAAAGAAAACCGGAAGGATTGTCATGGAGAAATCATGAAAGTACCGTAGCGACATCTAGTGTAATTTCGAGAACTAATGATTTCTTAAATATTCTGAAGAATGAATTATTACGCAATAAATACTAGCATAATAAAACATGGTACTAGTAAGAGAAGGAAAGAAGGAGAGAGTGTAGGATAATTTTAATCCCAAAATGTATTTATTGATTTCATAAATGTAAATAAATATCCGAACCATATTTTAAAACTTTATTATCTCATTAAGAAAAAATGCAACATTACAATACTCCTGGTATCATAAATAAAATCCATAAATAAATATGCCTATGACTAATGATCAAGAATTTTGAGAAAACATTTACATATACATTTTCCAATTTATTCTTTATACATATATTTTATAACGCAGGTAACGTTTGTTAGATCTCAATAGATATCACTTGCTCTTGTGCTAATACTTATAAAAAAAAGATATCTTCTGCCGCACTCGTTTACTCCACATGGCTGAAAATAAATAAAATTTTATATTATAAATTACCGGCTTCATATATTATGTAGATTGAAATGCCTGTATTTATAAAAAATATTATTAAGCATAAAAATTATATTTAAAAAAGTAACTAGCTTTGTTTCTGCGACATCGCCAGCGTAAATTATAATATAACCTATGCGACCCCCGTATGATGTAGCTTCCCTTAAGTGACAGAATTTTTTAAATCGACCTGAAAGCTTCGAAACCTATTTCATGTATCTCAATACGTATTTTAATGTATCTTTATACGTATTTTAATGTATCTTTATTCTTTATAGTATAATTATACGTATCTTAATGTCCGCGTTAGCAAGAGGGTTAATTTTGAGTAAAACTGTACGATAGCCCTGAGTTAGAACAATTCGTACATACGAACATGTTGAAACTTGTGACATAATTAACCTATGCTCTATTTTGTTTACGATAAGGGTGGATATGTTATAGTGTTTTTCTTTAATGTTATTAAATGGAATCAAACTACTTAATTGGCATCGGGACATAGAATGATATTACTATGATATTTAATAAGACAATATTTTAATTTAATATGATTAAATTGTCATATGTAAAAATGAACTTCTTTAGAACCATATCAGTATTTTAAAAATAAACAAAGCAAACACGTAGTAACCCCTTAAACCAAAATTGTTCTTCAGATCAGAAAAACTTTTTTTTATCGATAAATAATTCCTATAAACGTCCATGGTAACAAATGAGGTATTTCTAAGTCAATTTATAAGGAAATAAGATGTAAAAAAGTCATTTTTTGAGAAATATAAAGATTTTCCACTCTAAATATACATATTGGTTTTGTAGATAACTACTTGTTTGCTTTCCAGCATCAATATATAACTAAAGTGAACAAATAACACTTACATGATACGCATAGTGTTGGTGAAGCCGGATCCCTGCTTCCAGCCGGTGACTATCACCACTGGGTCGCCGGTGTTGATGAACCCGCGCGCGCGTCCGAACTTGAGACCGTACTGTACGCGATTGTCCACGTCCTTCAGCCAGTCGCTAGCGGCGGGCTCTGAATAATTTAAGGAACAGGTCTTTGACAAAGTTTCTCTTAAAGTTAGTGGGAAACTATTTTTTCTTCACCACCACCACCAGCCCTTTTACGTCCCCACTGCAGGGGCTCAGGCCTTCCTTATGGATGGTTAAGGAGGATGGGCCATGACCCTCCACGCTGGCCCAATGCGGATTGGAGAGTATTGACGACTGCAAATGCAGCCGGGACCAACGGCTTAACGTGCCTTCGGAAGCACGGAGTAGCTCGAGATAATAATTTTTTGGTCACCCATCCCGTGACCGACCCTTGCGAAAGTTGCTTAACGACTTCGATCGCGGGCCGCGGCGCTTATCCACTCCATCGAGCTACTCTTATATTATTCTCCTATTTTTCCTTAATAAAACAATATTCACAAATGAATTCTCTAAGTTATTGTCTATCTAAGACTTGTATCAAATATAAATCGTGGCACATATTTGTCCAGCTGTAGACAATTATGTTCAACTACTAAGCTGATTAACGCAGTTAAATGGCGCCATTCAATTAAAAGACAATTGACTCCGATTGAGCAGTAATACTGATATTGAATAAGAATAATAACCACAGGCTTTCCCTAAAGCTAGAATGGATGGAGAAAGTACCACATGGGCAGTGTCGATTAGTGGATGTTAACGACTGCAGAAGCAGCAGTGACCAACGGCATAACAAGATTCCAAAGCATGGAGTTCATAAGTCTTTACAAACGAATAGTATAAAGGTGTAAATTATACAATATACAGATGTATAGAATATAGGTGTACAGTATACAGATGTATAGAATATAGGTGTACAGTATACAGATGTATATTATACAGGTGTACAGTATACAGTACAGTTTACAGGTGTACAGTATAGAGTATAGTATACAATCCAGCACAACGGTGTACAGTATACAGTGCAGTGTACAGGAGTACAGTATACAGTATAACGGTGTACAGTATAGAGAACAGTATACAGGTGTACAGTATTCAGGACAGTATACATGTGTACAGTACACAGTACAGGTGTACAGTATATGTACCCTGGTACACGATGGGCAGCACGCCGCGGTAGAGGTGCGCCTGGCGCGCGGTCTGCGGCTGCCTGGTGACGGCGATGATGGGGCAGCGCGGGCGGTACTTGCTGACGAGGTGCGCCGACCGCCCGCTGGTGGTCACCACCACGATGGCGGACGCCAGGCAGATGGTGGACGCCTCCACAGCGGCGATCGCCACCGTGTGAGCCTGCTCGATCGGCGCTGACACCTTCACGCGAACATATACAACAACACTAATGTAGACCGGGTAATAAAAAAAAAAAGAAATTTAATTAAGTCCATCCATGAGTAAGATAGAATAATAATATCCATTTCTTTTTCTCGTCACAAAAGTACTTATACATACTTAAATTTAAACATAATTTGAGAGACTGGAGCCCGTAAAAGATGCCATTGGTATCTGTACTAACTGGTCACCAGGCCCGTATTACGTAAAGTTGATAACACGAAGTATGTTATATAAAGGTACTCCGTTATTTATAGACATTTTGGATATTATCCAGATTATTATAGTTATTATAATGCTTACTAGAAAAACATTAAGAACGTATGTTTTGCTTCAATATGTAGACAACTCTTTAATATTTTATATATATATAAATATTATTCATATAATACGCATTTAAGTTGATCGACTCACTACGTCATAACTATGTAGAAAATATACAAAACTGTAACGTCATGAGATATTTCAACTCAAATGTGTCTACGTAATTTATTGATTTCGTAAAAAAAAGTGTTTAATATTATATCTTCCCGATGTCTGTACACTGATATCTTTAAAATTACACAATGGATTTTAATGCGGCCTTCATCAATTTACAGAGTAATTGAAAAGAAGGTTAAACTATTTTATACAGGACCACGTGGGCGAAGCTGGACCATGTGGGCGAAGCTGGTCCATGTTAATTTTGACTAATTCGATTGTACTCAATCTAAAGATTGACTCAACCATGGTTGTATAAATTGAATCCCTTTTCTAATCATCAAATAGCAAATATTCCAAGACTATCATGTGTAGCTAAAATTACAATATTTTGGACAGCTTTAAAAAATGCAATAAAGAAAACGACCATTCACTCGGTAAACTTTTTCGATACCATTACAGATAAGTACCCGTCATTACCAATGGTCGGAATTAGGTAGAGTTATTCATGTACTTACACTTATTTCATACAGCGAAAGAATAAAGTGGATATGCCTCAAATCCCGAGATTAATTTTAAAGAGCAGAAAAAATCCCGTTATTTTTTAAATAAAAAGTTATTTACTTTTACACAATTTAAACTACTGCACGCACGACGTTGCCAAACTTATATCAATGAAAGAAAGAAATAAAGAAATCTCGGGAAGATCCACATTAATATCAACATTTCGATGCAAGTACATAAATAACTCTACCTAATTCCGACCACTGGTCATTACACAGCTGCATAACAGCATTGGATACATAATTTCCACTAAACATTTCGTATATCAACAGACAATTTAAGTAACAACATTAATGATAACAAAATAGCTTACCTCTCCACTGAGATCGATAAACAGCTGCTTATGCCATATAGCAGCTTCGGCTTCCTTACAGATATTGGCCATAGTTAGAACGCATTCGAGAGGATAATCTCCTTTGGCCGTCTCTCCTGACAGCATCACGCAATCAGCACCGTCCAATATCGCGTTGGCAACGTCGGAAGTCTCAGCTCGTGTGGGACGAGGTTTCTTTACCATAGACTCCAACATTTGAGTAGCGCAGATCACGGGTTTGCCCACCTAAAACAAATGTAATATAAAATAGGAGGCTCACACTATTCATCCATGCATAAGATATATATCGGCTTTATCTTCACGCAGAAAAATAAATTTCTCTCAAGGGGAAAGATAAAGAGAAAAAACTAAGCTCACACTTTTTCATTCACAATAGCTTTTTAATACAGGCTCACCAGTTTTAATGACATCAACAGACCATTAAGATACAGATATTAAAACAAACTTTTTCGGACAATTGGTCTTTTGGAAATAAATGGTTTCCTTTTTACATACGCAGCTAATAACATAATATAAAAAAATATTAAATTCACACTATGCTCACTGATGGTGTAGGATATCTGATGTTTTTACAAAATTGTTTCCTACATGTTATAGTGCTGCAATCTGGTGACAGTATGTGTGTATACATCCTAGTAGATAACTTTAATAGCAAACATGTGCACTGTGACATGAACAATATGTCACAATGACAAAAAATCAGCAATGAGTCCGTAGCCTTAGAATGACTTTGCGTTCTAATATATACTCTACTTGTTCCATTATTTTTCGGTATTATTAGTTGAAATTTATTAATATTAAAAATAATATGAGCCAAATTCACAGAATTTATGTATTGATGTACCTTCGCAGAAGGTTAAATTACGACGAGCGACAAATGTCGTAGCGAGACTTCCTAAGAGTGTGAGTGAGAGGGACACCAAATGCGTTATATTTTACACTTTATTATTAATGAAACAACTTTTTGTAATAAATAATCCGTTCAGTTATAGTTAGAATTTATAAATAGCATTTGCACAAACTTATACGCATATTATGACTATTGCGATATCATTTTTCATCTTACAAGCGTCACACACATTTGCGTACATGCACACGCGCGATAAGTAGCTTGGTAGCGTAGAGAATAAACGCCGTGGCCCGGACACGGGATGGGTAACCAAAAAAATATTATCTCGAGCTTCTTCCCTCTTCGGCAAGCACGTTAAGACGTTGGTGCCGACCGCATTTGCAGTCGTTATTACCCTCAATTCGTATTGGGCCAGTGTGGAAGGTCATGGCCATCCTCCTTAACCATCTATAAAGAAGGCCTGAGCCCCTGCAGTGGGGACGTAAAAAGGTTGATGATGATGATGATAATGGCACGCTCGATGTCGTAGTCGTAGCAGCATATGCTGAGACAGGTTCTTTATTATTGGATCAATTTATTCTATTTCATTTATCAGTCAGAAACGACAGTACCTATAAATAATAAAACAAATACATTTGTAGTAATGTCTAAGTAAATATTTATACCCTGTTGCATCGCGCAATCATTGTCTTCTGTGCGAGGAATACTTTTTCCGGTGGAATCTCAATACCGAGATCTCCACGAGCCACCATGATACCGTCAGATTCCTGGAAAATAAAAAAATAAACATTATCAAGACACTTTCGCTTCGGTAAAATTTTCCCAATAAACAATAATAATCTATGCTTTGTTGCCTACTGAACAAGACAAAATACCTCTAGACAAGAAAAAAAGTATACAATAGGCGGTCTTATTGCTAACCGGAAATCTCGTTAGCAAACGATTTAGAACTCCATAGCGGAGTGGTTCTCCGGTTTGAATGTGTAGCCATCTCTGAGGTTCGGTTCTTGATCAGATCAATCTAGAAAATGAACTTTTCTATATTGTCTAGACCGGTGTTGTAATACCTTCATTGGCTTAGATACTCCATATGGGTTTGTATGTGATGATGTGTAATATTTCTTATTGACGTATGTTAATAATAAGTATTAGATACATTAGGTCATAAAATAGGTGAGCAAAAAAATATTTTCTCGAGCTTCCTCGTGCTTCAGAGCCTCGTGCTCCATTGGTCATTGCTGTATCTGCAGTTGTTAAAATCCACCAATCCACACTTGCATTCTTATTGTTCGGTTATGGCTCTATTTTAAATTCCATTACATTAAGCCTATGCCCCAGCACTGAGAAAAATAATAGGTATATAATGATATCACTGTACAGTAAATAAGGTCAATACCTTTCATAAAAAAAACAATTCTTCAAAAACTATATCAGTGACTTGGTCACATTTAAAGTTGAAAAATTTCTTGAATTGGAATTAATGTTAAATTTACGTTTTTACCTTTGAGATTTTGTATTTTACTGTATAATTATATTGTTGTTTGTAATTTTTAATTTATTTCGTATTTAAATTTGTACAATCAAATTTATTTTAAACTAATGATTGTGAATGAGTGTTAACACTTGAAATAAATGACCTATTATATTATTATTAAACATTAATAGTTGCACTGACCGCTATAATCTCGTCCAGGTTCGTCATTCCCTGGTGGTTTTCTATCTTTGAGATGATCTTGATGTGTTTGCCCTTCTCGCCGAGGATGCTGCGGATCTCTTGCAACGCAGCACCGTTACGTATGAACGACGCGAAGATCATGTCCACCTGTGAAACAAATCATTAACGTTTATAGTTCAGAGAATCTGATCTAATGCATAGTTGGTGCCTATCACGTCGGTAGGCAAGTTTTCTATTATAAAAAAGACTACTGTATAAATAAAAATTAACCAAAACTCGAGATCAATCTCCCAAAAAAATCTCAAACGAGTCCAAGAAATGAGAAAGGTTTTATGAAAGAATAATTGAGAGCACGTCGGTAAAAAAACACATTTCAATCAAAGAGTTCTAGTGATTTTCATTTCCTGCACCGCGCACACGTGTACACGTGAGAATCACTACATAGTATAAAACAAAGTCGCTTTCCCTGCCCCTTTATCTCTATGTCTCTCTTGATGGTTTTTTTTATAGATAGGGTGATTCAAAAGGAAGGTTTTTATATATAATACAAGACCACGCGGGTGAAGCCGCAGGCGGAAAGCTAGTAAGGAATATAACGTAAACCTCGGTGTAGATGGTAGTTACTACACTACTTACTAGTAAACTTTTACAAACATTGTATTATTTGGAAATGTATGATTCCCTTCCATCTTACATCCAAATATGCTTTTTGTTATATCTAATATTATTAAATATTAAAATCGATGACGTTTATAAAAAAAATTACACTACATGCGCTGGTGTCTGGCTACAGAAAGTTACAGTAATACATCCTATTAGGTGATTTGAATAGTAAACATAAGCGCAGTGAGTCACAATATCGTACGTTGAGAACGATAGTGACACAATGCAAAAAATGCGATTTTGAGTAATGAGCGTTTAAAGTTCAACAAATTGTAATCAGCCCCTCTAAACAACGTATCGTCACTATGCCACCTAGCAGTTTCTACGCAAACTACGTTCACAGGGATCTTTGCATTTTAAAGTTTATATTTAACAAAGAAAAATGACGTTTTTTATTAGTGACATTGTCATTATCAACGTGCGATATGTCACCTGTGCATCCGTAGCCTTAGTATCAGTATCTCGTCAATTTGTTTCATTACTTTTCGTTGGTAAGTGTAATAAAATGACAACAAGTGATCATACTATATTTAAAAAAATACGTGAATTCTAAGAAAGAGGCAATGCTCTTTCAATTATTTCAAATCAAATAAATTCAATAATCATGTTTTTAATTTCTTCTGTTGAGTTATTTATTGAATTATGTCGAGGGCTAATTTCTTTATACTTATATTATAAAGAGGTATTTTAGAGGTATTATTAGAGCTTCTAACTTTGTTTGTTTGTAGCGGGTTATCTTCGGAAATTCTACTGAACCGATCATGAAAATCCTTTTACCTACGAGTAGCTACATCACATGCGGTTGACACCACTACATAGTATAAAACAAAGTCGCTTTCTCTGTCCCTATATAGATAGGGTGCTTCAAAAGGGAGGTTTTTATGTATATTACAAGGCATAATTGACGCATAATAAGCTATAATTGAGGCAGGCAAAATCGCGTGTAAACAACTAGTATATTTAATACTTTGATTAATCAAATTGATATCTCAAGAATACTTTCAATACAAATTATCTAAAGCACTCTCTGCTGTTCACTTCTATTACACAAACAAATATTTTTAGCTAATTACTCAAGGTCATTGCATTTGCTCGCAAGTATCAGCCAAAACGAAACGTCACAGAACGTCACCCAGTGATAAAATTGATCACGTACCATTAAATGAGACTAAAACTTATCATTCTCACAATAAAGTTTAATCTCTACTGATAATTCTGTATGATATTCACGTGAGTTTAACGTCTCGAAAGATCATACATACAGTTGCGATGAGGCAGCAGCGATTAAGTAATGGCTTATCTAATATCGGAAATATATTGTTTATACAATATTACACGTGATGATAAACACGTTAAAGTTGCATGATAGTATAGATTTTACAAAAAAATACTAGTGTAGGTATAATTATTGCATTTAGAGTTCCGTGAATTCTGCACCCAACAGTTTCAGTATCAAAATACTGATTACATATTTACTCAAACTAATTAACTGTTATTTATTAAAAATACTAATTAGCAATTTAAGTCCCACTTACAGTTTATTCTGTTAAATTAAAATTAGAAATAGCCAATGTTTACCGGCTAATCTTACTACATATAAGAAAATTAAGCAATTGCTGAGAGCTCTGTGTTTTGGGCAACAGAAAGTGCACAAAAAAAATATTTAAAAAATATATTTTACAACACATGATTAATAAAAAACAAGCGTAGTTTCACCATAAATGACTATAGACATTTCACAAACTTTCGCTACACTACCCCTAGAAAGAGCTCTACACACGATACTACCCATTAAGTGTAAACTATTTCGACCTATGGGGATCCTAATTAAAGTTATAACAATTAAAATTATTATAGCCGGGAATTGGCACCAATGCTGACTAAAAAAATAAATATTATGTTTGATTTTTCGACGTATATTATACTCACGCCCTGTTCGACGCCGAAGATCAAATCGGACTTATCCTTTTCGGAGACAGCTGGCAGGTCTACAGGCAGGCCGGGCAAGTTCACACCCTTCCTGGAGCCCAGCATACCTGACAAAATCCGCAGTCTCACTTATAACTATATAATAATGTAAATAAGGGTTGGTGTATATCTATCCCTGAAGTTTAAATTATATGATACTAGATGGCGCTGTAGTCTATTGAATCGCGCTATAGGATGGCAATGTGAACAACAATATATGTATCGTGAACACTATGTTCACTTGTTAAGCTAAAATTGGTCACGGTTGCTTATATAATCGTGTATTTTTGAAGTGAGAGCGTACATGACAGTACGGTGTCACGTTATTATTAAAAAAAAATAAGGAATTATTACATCATATTAAGTTTAATAATAGGGGATGGTTGGTAAAAAGAAGAAAAATTCTATTTAATCCCAACAGTAGAAAAGTATTACTTACGTATGTTTTTTTTTGCTTCAATTTAAACATGAATGGCTTAGGTAATAGGTTGTAAGTTGAGGAGCCGAGGGCTCGTTACGTCCCAGTTTTGTAGAAGATATACAAAAGCGTGACGTCATGCGACATTTTAACTCGTAATTTATTGAATACGCAAAAAATAAAAAAATTAATATTCTTCAATAATCGACCTAACGGACGGACAAAAATTTGGCGTCTTCCCAATAGGGATGATTTATTTGCTGCACCAGTACTAACATCCATGATCTCATGAATTTGTTGGGCCTCATGAATCAACTCAAACATTATTACAAAAATTTTTTTTTCAGAAAAGCTTTCGTTCCCTTTTCAACGATAAATGATAGAAAATTTATAGCTGTTATATTATTAAGGGGGCTTCCCAAAAAAGGTGAATAAATCCTTGTCTATATTGTAACTGCACTAACCTCCATTCTCAATGCTGCAGACGAGAGCGTCCGAATTGACAGACTGACAGATGACTGAAATAAGGCCATCATCAATGAAGATCCTGTTGCCGGGTTTTACGACGTTGGTGATGTTCTTATAGTCCACAAACACGGTGGATGCGGAGCCCTTCTCTTGGAACATGGGGTCCGTAGTCAGCTTGATTGTGTCGCCTTTCTTTAATTCCACTTCTGCAGAACCGCCCTGATGAAAAAGAGATTTAAAATCGTTAAAACTAATTAACCCCACAAGTGATATGACGTGAAGATATTAATAAGACATGAGTAACATTATATGAAATCAAACATTACTTCTGTGACAGTTAATCTGCTTTTAGATTTCGCAAAAATTTAGAGATATTCTTGTGTATATTTAAATTGCAAATTTAAATCATATTTCCTAGGTACCTAGGTAGCTGTTTAAATATCTGGTAAGGTTTACCGCACGGTCGTCTGTATACCTAATTGTATTTTAAAATAGGCGACTCTTAGTGATAAGCATATTTCGCCTACGAACAAGGAGAATATAGTAGTTGTTGACGCCTACCAATTCAAACTGCTCATGTGGTAGTTGGTTCATTCTCTCAATAGGACTATAAACAGGAAAGACATGTAGAATGGTTGCATAAATAATCTGGTGTTAATCATGATACTTACGCCTTCCAATAGACCGGTTCTGATCTCAGGACCTTTGGTGTCCAGAGCGATGGCAAGTGAGAATGGCATGCCAAGTTTGGCGCTGTAATTCTTCTCCGCTTGCCGACAGTTCGCGATAGTTTCAGCATGGTACTCGTGGGAGCCGTGGGAGAAGTTCATGCGAGCCACATTCATGCCTGTCTCCATCATCTTCTCTAGCATGGTTATATCTCGGGAGGCGGGTCCTGTGTGCAAATATCAATAGTTAAAATATGTCAATTAATTGTGAGAATTTTAAATATCGGTCCAGTAGCCTCAATGCAAAGAAACAAATTTTTCTTCTTTATAATATATTTAATGTTAGTGATCATACAATATATTATTACAGTGGGTATGAACATTGATCTAAAAATTAGATATATCCCATTATAGTTTTGAGCTCCATTTATATTTTCCGATGCTGAGACAACTATGGTAATTACAAAGGAAAATTCATACAGCAGCCCACAATCAATTGTAGTTCATACAATTTGGCTTATTGGACGTGTCATCAGCATCATTACACAATTTTTATATGTGATGAAGAAAAAACAACAAACCATATTTTACCAACCATAAGGGGCCGATAGCAATATCCTAGATGTCGGTGTGGATCTTTATCCACACCAATATCACCTGAGATATGGCGAAATATGGCCAAAACATACGAGGCGAATAGACGAAAGATAAAAAATAAAGAAATATATTTTCACAAAAACATATTATATTATAAGTCTTTTTTATTACTTTATATTATTTATTAAAAATACGAAAATTAATTTGTAGCAATCGCTCTATTATATCACAATAATTAATAAGATCATTTTATAAAAAAAAATACTACAAAAGAGAATTATGTACTTAATTATTTGTAATTTGCTTTCAATGTAGGTATATTATCCAATGTAGGTATGACGACCTCCGTAGCCGAGTGGTTCGCACGCCGGTTTCAAGGTGTCGCCATCTCTGAGGTCCCGGGTTCGATTCCCGGTCGGGTCAATGTAGAAAATGAACTTTTCTATATTGACTCGGGTCTGGGTGTTGTGGTACCTTCGTTGTCTCAGATACTCCATAATACGGGGGCTTTAGCTACTCATCTTGGAATCTGAGCAATGTATGTGATGTTGTTAAATATTTATTTATTTATTATTTATTTGTTTATATTAATTTCTCAGTACAAGCCGTAGATTTGCAAACCGATGGCAAAGCTTACGATATTCTCAAGTGCTTGTAACAACTTATATTAAATAAATGATATTGAGTTGGAATTTATTACTAATTGATAGAAAACAAACTTACCAATAGTACAAATAATGCCTGAAAGTCGTACATATGACGCGGGGGAGTCGATATCTAAAGCGCACATATGTTGCAGGTGAGAGCCCACATTGGCCGCTGCCAGCTGCATTGCTGGTTTGTCAGGTGAACCGGACTGGTAGATAGAAAAACAGATTTATTATTAAAAGACAGAAAGACTTTTTATATTTATGATATAATATAGAATATATCATTTATTTTACAAATCAGGTTATCAAAGAATATTGCCCGTTCTACTAGTAACAAATTTAGTGTCACATCATATCACTATGCGCCTTCATATAACTCACCATGTATTAAAGTTCTTAAATGTACAGTCAATCACAAAATACATTATCATTAGTTCATCAGATTTATTCGAAAATGTCTAACAGGGTTTATAAAACTAAGTTATATTTTCATATGATTTCAATACAAACTGCAAACTTACTTATTGTTTGTTAACCTTTTTTTAATGAAACAATAAACAGATCATAACTTAATTTCGATAAATGAATTTTATACTGGATACTCCACAATGCAATAAGTAAACTAGGGAACCGAATTTCAAACAGTGATTAAATTAAAGGAGTTTTGATAACAATGAACAGTCGGAGGGCATAAATGAACCAAATAACAGTTCCAAGAACCTCTGTCACTAAATACAGCTCCTCTAAAGGTAGTGGTTCTAGGAACTACAAATAAGTAGAACCTCGATAACTCAAACCTCTATAACTTCAAAAAATAATATGTTACGCAACCTCTGTAACTTAAAATACGCAACCTCTGTAACTTAAATAAGTTATCTCTGTATTGGCCCTCAGTAACTGAAAGAAATGCTCCCACAACCTCTATAACATAAAATTGTTTGTCAATGAGTCATTTTGAAAGAGTGTGCAAAACAAAAGGTTTCGGTATTTATTGCTTGCACGTGTTCACTAGTTAAATTGTTAAGGTAAACAATACACATGTCACCTATTGTTTGCTTATTCGAAATTCTTTAAAGCTTTGCGGCGGTTCGCCTTATGGCAACGGCTTACTTGGATCATAAGTTTTTGATCATTGTCCTGGAAACATCGGTTTACCTACTCTATGATAAAACTGGCTTAAAATGAGTTCAAAAAGAAAACTAACAACACTCTCATACGCTGATAAATTAAGAGCTATAGAAGCAGTGAAAAATGGATTGAAAAGGAAAGAAGTTGCGGCTCAGTTTGGGATACATGAGAGTACATTATCAATTATCATTAAAAAAGGAGCTGAAATCTTGAAGAAACAAGAATTAGGAGAAAGTCTTCAATGCAAAAGACGAAAAATTGCCGAATTCCCTCATTTAGAACAATGTTTGTTTACGTGGTTCAAACAGTGTCGAAACAAAAACATCAGTGTTAGTGGACCCATACTGAAAGAAAAAGCTGAAAAGATCGCTAATTCGCTGAAAATCAAAAATTTTAGGGCCAGCAATGGCTGGTTAGAGAATTTCAAAAAACGACATGATTTAGCCTTTAAAAAAATGTGCGGCGAAAGTGCGAGCGTGAGCAAATCAGTCTGCGAAGAATGGAAATCTGAATTACATAATTTAGTGAATGATTATGATCCCAATGATGTTTTTAACGCTGACGAAACGGGTCTATTTTTCAAATGTCTTCCCGACAAAACATTAACATTCAAAAATGAAAAATGTCATGGAGGAAAGCAGAGCAAAGAACGACTTACGATTCTGCTTTGTGCAAATTCTACGGGCACAGAAAAACTGAAACCTTTGATCATAGGCAAGTCAAGAAAACCTCGGTGCTTTGCAGGCGTAAAATCACTACCCATGGATTATGAAGCCAATAAAAAAGCATGGATGACAGCCGAACTTTTTAAAAAATGGCTGATTAACATAGATAAGCAAATGGTAACTTTAAATAGAAAAATTATACTGTTTATCAACAACTGCACAGCACACGGGGACATACCACCATTAAAGGCAGTCAATGTACAATTTCTTCCACCAAACACAACATCACAATTTCAACCTTTGGATCAGGGTATAATTAAAAATTTAAAAACATTATACAGAAAAGAAGTTGCTAGAAAAATGATAGCTGATATGGAGCAAAATATGAATTCTTCTATCAATATTCTTCAAGCAATGAGGATGTTGGACAAAGCTTGGCGAAATGTAACACCACTTGTAGTAAAAAACTGCTTTAGAACCTGCGGTTTTTCTTCAGCACCTCAGGAAATCATTGAAGAGGAAGATAATAATGTGCCTGATGAATGGAATAAGCACATATCTGGGTCAAACATTACTTTTGAAGACTTTGTTACTTGTGATGATGAAGTAGTTACAGCAGGGACGTTAACAGAGGAAGAAATATTGGAATCAGTAAACAACTACATTGAAAGTGATAAAGACGATGATTTTAATGATGAGCCACAAACTTCATCTATAAGCATATCAATCAACGAAGCAAAAAGAGCTTTAACAACTGTACGATCATTTATAGAGCAGTGTAGCAACATCAAAGATAATGTATTCTCCTCTCTAATTGTCATTGAAAATCAAATCGATTTAGAAACTTTGAATTATTAAAAAAAAATCACAGGCTTTTTTAAGTAGACTAAACCTTTAATTGTTGTATTATGTTTATGTAATGTGTGCAATGTGAATAAATAAATATGATTATTTAAATTTCTGTATTTTATTGAACCAGTCCTTCTGACACAATCAAGTAAAAATAGGAACAAGGGTACATACCTACCTCTATATTAACCTATCCCTAACCTATGTTATGTTAGGGTCTATACCCTTGATAACTTAAAACCTCTATGACTTAAAATATTTTGTGTTTCCCTTGGAGTTTAACTTATCGAAGTTCTACTGTAATTCAAATCAGACTGTTTAATGCAGACAATATTTATTTCTGCTGTTCATCAACAATGCAATGAAAGCATGTGATAATAATAAACGACTTTTCAAATTACCTTACAATACGATTTTTTTAATATTGACAAGAAATAAAGAAATTTTGATTTGATTTGTAAAAAATAATTATGATGATTCTGATGTTTTTGCGGCTCATTTTTATTGATTGGTTATTGGTTTGTAATTTGCACCAATAAAATGACTCAGATAAAGATTTGTACTTACATAATTATTTATGCAAAAAGCAATGCTACTGTCACAAAGAATTGTTCAAACATTGACACATAACAAGCAATAATACGTAATGGACTTGACATTGAGGTGTAGTTAGTCCAATGAGATGAACATGTAGAGCATAGCAGTCGGACATTTGCGTTATAAAATTTTTTCATATCTAAGAGTACAAATTAATAAAAGTTTAATTATAACAGAAACCAATAAAATATTAACACTGATTTAAATGGTAAAATATGACTTAAAATTAAATAATTATTAAATATCTTACTTTACTATTTGTATTAGGTTTTCTCACTAGACCTTAATCACATCATAACTAAATTCATCATTCTGTTTGATAAACATTGGTGCTAGTTAATCATATGAAATCATATGAGTTTAAAATATGAAAAAAAATCTATTTGTAAAGCATTTAGAACATTTTAAAGTAAAAGAAAACATACTATTGAAGTTACAATTTTAAACTTTTCTATATAGAGGCAACATTTAAAGAAATTATGTATTCTAAACATCAAAGATAAGATTAGGTTTCATGAAATACCTTATGTGGTATTTCATATCTCTGCATTATCTATACATATAACAAAATTGAATAAAATCAGCTATTCTGTGATTTACATTTTGAAGTTGTAAAGGCAGAAGACAGTTGAATTTTAAGTCTGTAGTGTCATTAAAAGTAGGAAATAGAGTCATTATTTTAACTTGATTATATCAGAATCATTTTCAACCGGCGCAGCGCGGTGAAAAATATTTCGTCAAGGTAGCAATACAAATGAATTGGAATAGCTCACGTAACAATGTTTTAGATACTAAAATAGACATTGCCTACCTCAGTTTTGCCATCGTAGACAGTTGACCAAACCATGTTAACTATTGTATGATGTAAGAATCTTATAGAGAACACCGCGTAAGGTGAAAGAAGCAGCGAATGTGATCTTGAACTGCCCTTTAGCCGTGGAAGTCTATTTGACTTGCGTATTGGACGGGGAAACAGAGACGCGAGCGGCGCGCGCACCACAACGTTGCGGCGCCGGTACGGTGAGTGTAACCACAGAAACTGAATATTACTCCATTTAACATAAATATTTGCACTCATGAACACAGTGAAACCATTTACAGTGCACAATTGCAAAGTACAATGCAGTTATCTGTTTCACTAATAGTTCATCATTTCAGTTCTAAATTTAAACTTTTGAAAGTTTGCCAACGTTTCCTGTGTGGTTTCATCTTTTTTGCAGACGAATTATCACTATAAAATACATATCGTATCGGTAAGTATTATAAATAAAAAAAAAAAAGATTAATATACTTTTCGCAGAATTTTGGACACTTTGACATTTTGACTTGACATGTTTATTGCTATACAGCAGATTTGTTTTCTTCCGGTGACCTTTGATTGCCCTCTGTTTTCCGTATCCGGGAAAAGTAATGCCATCTCTACATTTGTTTGTATTATATAGTTTACTTCCTTTTCCGGAGATGGCGGATATCCGCCCGAAGAAAGAGGGAGTAATCGTCCTCACGAATTCGAATTGCTTTACAACAAATACAAGTATAAATAGTAAGTTCAAGTAGTTAGCAAACGAGTTAAGTTTTTATCGGTATAGTTAGAACTTTTAGGTATGATTACATGTTTATAGTGTTTCATAATAATTACCGCAAAAACCTTAAAAACTTAGACGAAGAATTATTTTTTGTAACTCTTTCGATTGAAATAAAAATATATACCTATTTAATTATTATTTTTTATTAGAATACTATTTTACTGTTAGATTGTAATTTATCTCGAAATATTGTAAGCTGTCGAAAAATTGTGATCATTAACATTATAGTTGTCAATACTACTTATAATTTGTTCATAGCTAGATAGCTTATACTAATCTATTCAAATCCAACCGTCAAATTGTGAAATGGCATGTTACCGGAATGTGCCTGGCGCGCTGATTGGTCAAATATCAGAAATATATCTACTTTAAAACACGTATGACTACCTAATTATTTATTTTATATTTTATGCACTAATATAAATCAAAGGATTTTATGTTTGAAAGCAATCTTAATAACTTAGGTTATTCTGTGAAAGTATTAGAATCATTTAAAAGATAACAATTAATAACATAACTTTTCTATGTAATATCTTAGAGTGTAAATAAATATCACTATAATAAATACTGTTTCAAGAAATTATGAAATGTATACTATAACAAATCCTTAATAATTCATAGGATTTTAGCAGATTGAAGAGAAGAAATATTTCAGTAATAATCTGGATTTACTGCTTAATGTTTTCACTTGTACTAACATTATGTTGTCAAAATAATCTAAATTATAAATACTTTACAAATGGACACATAATAATTAATCCTGTATTTTAATTACACATTTATTATTAAAGTTAAAAAGTCAGTATTGCAGTGTAATATTAACTAAAGAATATTTATTTAAGAAGAAGAGGTTATGTCAATGATATAATAATAATGTAATACACCATTTTTTCAAAATATAAAACTATTAATGTAATTTCGTATCATATTTTAACAATAAAAACAGTATGTTGGAATAATAAGTTTAATAATAATGTTTAAGATAGTATTGCCGGTGATTAATAGGTTGGCAAATCTAATAAACTTTTAAATTAAATTAACTTGGTATTAAACTAGAGCACCAATTTAATCAAATGTTCATCATTGTAATAAAATCTTTAAATTGTCCATCATCACCATCTTGCAGATTGTGCTCTTAAATGTAATTTGATTAACACTTAAATAGAGCTTAACAAAATTTTTAATATTTCTAAATACTTTTTATTAAATGATACTTTTTAACATTATTTTATATAAGTATGGGTATGTACTCACATGAGACATTATTTTGAACAAAAATTACAAAAGGAGTGGCACTTGCAAAGTTTCTGATACACTGTAGTCTTTGTTATACACCTTAAATTTTGACAGCATAGATTACAAGATTGTAGAGGTCAATGCAATGTCACTGTCAGGTAGCCATTTTTGAACTAGCCACATTGTAAGGTTATCGTTATTAACAAGAAATGTTAATACATTCTATAGCTTACTATAATATAATTTTATTTGGCACTATGGCTAATTTTGGCACTATAATATAATTTCATTATTTTTTTTAACATTTTAAATTTCACCTAAAGTGGAAATAAATTATAAAAAATAAGATTGTTTCTTGTAAAAATGCATTTGAATGCATGGATTTCTTGATTTTTTTTTCATTTACATTTTCACTGTTTGTAATTCTATCTATATTAAAAAAATTAATAAAAAAAAATATCAGTTCACGAGATTAAGGAATTAATATATATTATATTGTTACTTATACAGTAATTGTTTGTAAGTAAAACTTACCTTTACTCTGTTTCTTTTTTCTATAGCTTTCATCGTTGTTGGACTTATCAAAATTAATAACTTTGGAAGTACTACGTCTTGATTGAGCTACTTCGGTTCATAAACTAACAAGGGAGACAATTTGTCCGGTCAATAGACATCTTATCAATATCCGAAATCGAAATACCCTCTTATCTCTTTAGTGGATACTTTAATAATAACGCAGTTATCTATTTCAATAAATACTTAAAATGTTGAAGTTGTATGTCTCAGCTGAAAGGTCAAAAGTAAAATGTAGTTTCTGAATAAATTAAAAATGGCTTAAGTTGACGTAGAATGTACTTTTATACATTTACTTCCATTAATTCGCTATTAGTTAAGATTAATATAGTCGTTAAAAGAAGGTAAGTAGTAAAATTACCTATGATAATTTTAGTCTTTGATTGAAATTTTTATAATAAATGAGTTTAGTTATAAAATATATCAATAGTAGGTAGGGTAGATAACCCGGTTTTCGTCCAATTAGAGGAGTTGCCAACTTTGTACATAAAAATGTGAAAATTGTGGTAACTCTTAAATAGTCTACTTTTAATAACTGTATAGGTAGTAATAATAGATTTAAAAATAGTCAGAATAATAGCTTTTTTAGTTTTCGTCGATCTGCTGCCCAGTTGTCGACCGGATTTTACCCTATTTTCAGCTCAGGCGATGGTGTGCCTTCCTAGTTTTCGACCACTTGAGTGTATACCGACAGTAATGTTGGTATACACTCAAGTGGTCGAAAAGTCTTCTTTATACAAGGGAAGACCGTTGAATGGTCGAAAATGGGAGATGCACGGTTAACAGGCGCATCGGCTTTTTTAATAACACTAAGGTAAAAGTAATTATACAATTATTTTCTCCTATAGTATTTTGATATACTTGTAGATTAATAAAAATTAAAACATGTTTACATAAATTATTATATGTACTATTAGTAATTCCTATGTTTGTATATCTAATATAGACATTTTGTTCTGTTATATCGAGTTTTCATCATTATGTCAATTAAAGTGAGACATTTTACTTTTTAGCAATTAATTAACAATCGCCTCTCATATTTAATTCTTATCCTCCAGTACTAATAATTTATGTAACAATTAATGATATATATTTTTGACGTTGTATTGTAATTTTTTACTTGGTGTACTAAAATGTAGGCCACATCTGTATATGTAGTGGTAAAATCGTATTTAAGCCGCATCAGGACAATTATACGCGTGGTTTGTACTCAAACCAACGTACAGAGGCTACAAAGGTAAGGTCTCATAATTGTATAAAAATAATAAGATTTTGTATATTTTTGGTCTTTATTAATTATCACTAAATTGGTAGCCCTGTATATTTACTGTCAAGAAGGAAAGAAATCATAATAATTGAAAACTTCAAGTTAAATACATTTTATATGTTTATAAAAGTGTACGTAATGTGTAATAATAACTTATTTATCCTGTTTAAAATTTTAAAAAATCAGTAAATTTTTTAGAAATATTTTATGATCCGGCACGAAAGTATTCAAATTAATTTCTGCGGAAGTTGAGCTTCCGTACCATATATTCTTCATTATTTTTCTTCAAAAATAATTAAATTTGATTTATTTTTTAAATCATCATCACGATATCATTAGAGTCTGCTACGATATCAGATTCTGTAAAAGATTTATAAATTAAAAAAATATCAGTTAAGAAAGGTATATTATTTTTGAAGAACGGAAATGACGGATGTATCAATCCGGAAGTTTAGATTTCGTGGAATCACCGGGAATTTAAAAAAGCTTTGAATTAGAATTTTGATCATCTTATACATAACTTTTATTTTTTACTTTTATAAGCTTTCTTGGAGTTTATGTATTTTACAGGATTTACTTTCGCGCCAGCAGTACGAGCGTTTAACTCTTCTTAATATAACTCATGGGATACGACACCTTAGCGATCTTAAAAACCTATTTTGTTTCATTTGTTAAAGAATCACGAATATGGATTTGACTGTAGTGGTGAAAAACTTAGTTATTTATCCATTAAAAGACATGTCAAAGTAGTAAAATGAAATTAAATATCGTCGAATAAGTCGTATCCTATGAATAGAGAGGCGGTCACGCCCAAGGTACTGTATATATCGTAATGTAAACATGTACAGTCAAGAGTCAGCACAGCAGGTAATGCTGTGTGTAGACCGAACAAATGAGACTTGAAAAATGGCTATATGGATCATTTGTTGGCGTTCGCCACGACTACCACGAATGCCAGTGAATGGGTAGCGACGGTCCTTATTGTTATGGCTATGAGGAGCAACGTAGACGTTAGTTAGGTTGTTGGGGGAAATATAATCATGGTATGATGTTTGTGATCTAATATATTTTTTCTATCTGAATACTTGTTTAACTTTTAAAAATTATTCACTATTAGCTTTCCGTCAGCGGCTTCGCCCTAGCGAGACAGCAGCAAGCAACTTTATTTTATACTGAGTATAAATATAATATTCGCCATCACGGCACCCTCCTTTAGGAGTACTATAGTGTATTATTCTATGCATAATACTGAATCGAGTGTAAATACCATCACGGGATGTGTGACCAAAAAGTTATCATCTCAAGCTGCCCTGTGCTTCGGAATGCACGTTAACAGATGGTCCCAGATACAAATCCAGTCGTTAATACCTTCCAATCTGCATTGTGCCAGAGTAGACGGTCACGGCCCATTCTGTTTAACCATCCATAAGGAAGACCTGAGCCCCTGCAGTGGAGACGTAAGGGACTCATGATGATCATGTCAATACAGATTGGAAAAACTGAAACAACATCTATTGTGTTTACTTTTATTATCCAAATCCAATTTACAATGAAAATGAATGATAATAAACAATTTGTTCGATAATAATTAAACATAAAATTCGTAAATCTACTGACAAGAATTTCACCTTTTTCAAAGGTTTTTGGAATGGCATCTGCAACAAATCAATAACAGCACTTTACATACATACTTAGCATTAGCCAGGTTAGTTAAAATAGAGCCTATAAGGAATAAAAAATGTTAAAAGTAATTAACAAAAGTTACCAAGTAGAAATTTTAAAATTCTAAATTAGGTGCATCATTCGGTCTATAAATTATTTCAAACGCCAATTGATTATCATAACGCCGAACTGTAAGATCTGTATGAAATAATAATTAGCTAGCACAATTTAGCTGCCACATTGAAAACTGAGGTATTAAAATCAAAACCTTACTTATAAAATAAAGTCTTATTTATATAGTATTAAAATTGTAAAGAAAGCAGCCATAATTTTATCGCAAGCAGAATCATATCGTTGTAGTCTCAAATATATTTTTGCTAATCTAAAGAACATAACTATAATGTGCGTTTGTCACAAACAACATCTTCAACATGTCGAATGTGTAACATAAGTTGTATAGTAGATATATTTTTACAGAGTAACTTTCAGAAAAATATCCTCTTTTATTTAATTCATTGGTCGATAACATTTCAACTAGACTGAAAAACCATTTTTCAAACAGACAATACTTTAGGCCAGTATATCAATTTGTTTATACATACTGCAATATACATTTCTCATATAACATTTTATGCAGATAACAGACTTAAGGTCAAATATACAGTTGGTATACACTGGAAGCTATATTGAAACTATTTAAGAGTCCATATTGTCAGATCGTAACAAGTGAAAATATCGCATAATTGCGTATTACACATTACAATATAATATTTCGATCATCACTATGTACTAAATTACAGTAATAATATACATATATATTTTAGCTACATTCATAATATCACGTCAGGCAGACACATTGGTAGTGCCTACAAATTTAATCGTCTTTTAAGTTCCTGATTTAATTGAAATAAATCAGAAACGTCATATTATTTTAATTTTTATTTAAAGATGTTGTTTTCTCAAGTAAAGATCATAAATTCGCTGTATTTATTATAAATTATTAATCATAATACTCATTGCTTTTAATTTTCGTCAAGTTAAAATAAAAATTACTCCACAATTAGTAAATATTTTAGCGCTACTGGGACTAGGCAATTTCACATTTATTTCATTTTATCATTACGCAAGTGTATGACAACATTTTGTTGAAACAAAAAAAAAAAAGAATAGGTTATATTTGTCTCAATTATCATTTTTGATGTCATAAAAATTTGTTAGCTAAAATAGTATACAGCTAATGGAATCAAGTATCAATTAAGTTGCCAACAGATTGATAAATGTTTTTGTATGCAAATCCAAACATCTTCCGATAACATTAAAAATAAAGTGGTAATAATTTCGGAAAAGAGAACATTATTAAGTACAACTATTACAAGCCATGATGAATAAGAATTCATTATTTTTTAATATTGACATATATTTATTCTCTACTATTATAAAATGTCAATGAATGGTTTTCTCTCTAGGATGTGCTAACTGAAATGCTATTGTTTCTACATCACACAGAAACACTAATTTCAATGAAAGATAGTTTTGGACACTACAATGTGTATTTCGATAGTAATAATTGCAGTGCACAAAAGTCTATATAACTGTGGATTTTTATCATTATAGGTAAGTTTTTTATCTGTGGCATTCAATTCGTAATAAGTAAGAAATTTTCGCATTTTAAGATTTGATTTATAAAAGCAGAAGAAAAGAAACCTCTCTAAAACAACCTTTGAATGGGTTGTAAGGTGTTCTGATCGTTTGACGGTTTTGTGCAATAATTACTTTGAATTGCTTAAGCCCACTCAAAAATTATTTCACGTAATAATCAGTATATAATAAAATAGTGTGCGCAGAAATAAAGATATAGTTATAGAAATATTCACTTTTCAGAAATTGGGAGACTCCAATCATTTCTAGACAAGAGTAGGAGAGCTGCAGTTAGTTTTTATACCGAACAAAACTCTCAACTCAACTCAAGAACAGGAGAGAGAGCACAAGACAGAACTTCGAAATCACCACAGGCGTTTTCGAAGAGAGATAAAGCGTTCACAGAGACAGGACGACATGGCACCTTCACTTCACCACCGGGGTACGCGGTCGCGAGTTCGGAACTGTTAAACTTTCACTAGCCAACTTCGCTCTTGACGTAGAACAGGAGGTAGGGCGTGGCGGCGGTGCGGACCTTCGGCTCAGCAGAGAGGAGATCTTCGAACTCCTCGTCGGTGATAGGTTTGACGAGTTCGTCGTCGCACGCTAGCCACGTGTAGTCGGAGCGTCGCGGCAGGCAGCAATCGCGTGCGGCGCACGCGGCGGGCGGCCGGCGACTGAATAGCGCGCGCATGAAGCTCGGGCCCGCGGCGGTCGCGTCGCCCCCACCGCGGGAACACCGCGCGCCGCCCGAGCAGTCGCGCGCGTACGCCACGTAGTGACCGCCCGTGAGGGTCTGCCCGAGGTGCATTATCACGCCCCATAGCAGATATCTGGAAGTATTCATATACACCATAAGTAAACATCGACAGAATCAAATAAAGGTCATCAATGTATTAAGTTGTTTTAATTACATTACACCATTAATTCCTATATAATTTGTGTTCTTTACCACCAGCGGCTTCGCCCGCGTGGTTACTAGGGAACTGTTTATTTGGATATCTATTTATATCATGACACGGATATGATTACAACCTCTATTTGCTGTTTTTCGGAATAAATCGCCTATGATCACCTCATCTGATGTAGCTTTCCGTAGATAAAAGAATTTTTTAAATTTGTCCAGTATTTTCGGAGCTTATTCGTTGCAAATAAACAATCAAATGTTACCTCTTTATAATATTAGTATAGAAGTATAGATTCCATTGGGCCATTAGACGATTAATCTGTTGTTAAATTGTAATGTGCTGATTGATGTCAGATTGAAATGGATCACAAATTATCTAGATAATTTGATTTTCTACAATCTGCAACCATTCAGATAGATAGTCTAATGGCTAGCTATGAGATCCAATTAATTCAACCTACTACAATTGTAGCACTATTGTATTTACTAATGGGGTTGTGTCCTACAAGTGAAAATAAATGTTTCTGTTATATTTTCGAAAAATATGAGCTATTTTAACTTATAATTTTCATCAGAATAAATTTTATTAGACTAAAGACTAAAAAGGCTTTGAAGACTTGAAATAGTTGGGAAAATAGAGCATAAGAATTTGCTAAAATACATGTTGCATTAAATTAGTTTCATAAAACACATCAACTTTCATTATACAATTTTCGCTACCGGAACAAGGTTTGACGTCACTTCCTAGTGTGAATTTATAGTGAACGTATTCGACAAACTAAAAACATAGCACCATATCTCCGAAACTAATTGCAGACACGCTGTTATTTCTACATTTTTTCTCAAATATAAATGGACTATTTATTTATAGCATAAAAAAGTAGCCAACTCCTCAATGACATTATTCACGTTTACCATTCTCGTAATATCTTACAGTGTAGTTATTATTTATGCTTATGCAGTACCCGTTTTTGAGTAGGGTTAACGGATTCAGGATGTGTAGGGGTGTAGGTATAGTGGTAGTGCAGTAGTGTACCTGTGCGGGGAGGGCTGGTCCGGCGGCCGCTTGGTGCAGGGTTCACAGAAGCAGGGCATGTGCAGGGGCGTGGGCGCGTGCCTGGTGATCTTCTCCATCCCCCCGCTGAACCTCTTCAGCTGCAGCACGAGCAGCCGCGGCAGCCGCGAGTACGAGACCGTGCGCCGGGCCTCGTTGTAGCGTAGGCAGCGTTCGCACCAATACTGAAATAAACAACGTATATCGTTGTTTATTGTCAACGGAGTGGAGTTTCATTTTCTATTGTCAGAATAAACTCACTCTCTCTAGCTGAGACGGTGAAAAGTTTGAATTTTGAACATTATGTAAATTTCATTCTAATATAAATTCATGAATTAATTAATAAATTACTTAACCTTATAATTACTACACATGTATTCAAATATTCAAATGAAGAGTACATACTCTACATATAAATATTTTTGTTCTAGGCAGAGACTAACGTAATATAAGGCAAGGCAAGGAATTCAAGATAGTGAAATCTTCCTATATTCTCGTAATATGCACATGTAAACGACAATGTCAGATAAAACCTTTTTGGATGTGTGTCTAACCAAGCATCTTAGATCTTTTTAATTAGATTATTACCTGTAGTTTTAACTGCCAAAAGCTATAAACTCTTTTCTGTTACATTGTCCCCAAAGTAAATTTTTAAATTGACGTCTTCATTATAGTATTCTCGTCAATTTCAGATTACGGGTATTCTGGTCGCGCATGAAAGTCGGAAGGGCTCGTCTCTGTGACACTACACAGTGAGCATCAGTGGGTAGTGTACCTTGTTCTGGTCACGCAGGTACTCGCTGGAGATGCAGGCGGCGCGGAAGGGCTCGTCGCTGTGTCACCACACAGTGATGCAACAGTGGGTAGTGTACCTTGTTCTGGTCGCGCAGGTACTCGCTGGAGAGGCAGGCGGCGCGGAAGGGCTCGTCGCTGTGTCACCACACAGTGACGCAACAGTGGGTAGTGTACCTTGTTCTGGTCGCGCAGGTACTCGCTGGAGAGGCAGGCGGCGCGGAAGGGCTCGTCGCTGTGTCACCACACAGTGACGCAACAGTGGGTAGTGTACCTTGTTCTGGTCGCGCAGGTACTCGCTGGAGAGGGAGGCGGCGCGGAAAGGCTTGTCGCTGTGTCACCACACAGTGACGCAACAGTGGGTAGTGTACCTTGTTCTGGTCGCGCAGGTACTCGCTGGAGAGGGAGGCGGCGCGGAAAGGCTTGTCGCTGTGTCACCACACAGTGACGCAACAGTGGGTAGTGTACCTTGTTCTGGTCGCGCAGGTACTCGCTGGAGAGGCAGGCGGCGCGGAAGGGCTCGTCGCTGTGTCACCACACAGTGACGCAACAGTGGGTAGTGTACCTTGTTCTGGTCGCGCAGGTACTCGCTGGAGAGGCAGGCGGCGCGGAAGGGCTCGTCGCTGTGTCACCACACAGTGACGCAACAGTGGGTAGTGTACCTTGTTCTGGTCGCGCAGGTACTCGCTGGAGAGGGAGGCGGCGCGGAAAGGCTTGTCGCTGTGTCACCACACAGTGACGCAACAGTGGGTAGTGTACCTTGTTCTGGTCGCGCAGGTACTCGCTGGAGAGGGAGGCGGCGCGGAAAGGCTTGTCGCTGTGTCACCACACAGTGACGCAACAGTGGGTAGTGTACCTTGTTCTGGTCGCGCAGGTACTCGCTGGAGAGGCAGGCGGCGCGGAAGGGCTCGTCGCTGGGCTCGTCGCCGCCGACGGGCACGCACAGCTCGCACACCGCCTGCGCCTTCTCGCGCACGCTCTCGCACTCAAGGCACGTCGTGCGGACCACCATCGTGCCTATAGAACAGTTCATAATTATCTAGATAATTATTGATAAATGAAATTAGTTAAAACGCTATTCTTCTTTATTATATAAGGAAAAAAAAATTGTTTAATTTTCATTTATCAAACATACGTACAATACGTTTTATTTCAATAGGTGATTGAAAACCATTTTCAGTTCGAAAAATACTCTTAGTAAAAGTATTGGGTACTTAAATTTATAATTTAGCTCAGCCACTATCTTTTCAGCTTATTATGAACAAACGAAGAAACAAAAGAAATCTTAAGTAACTAAATAAAAAAAAATAAGTATAGATAAAACTAACCTTCAAAGTCTTCTGCAACAAAGTCCCATCCAGGTTTAGCTTTCTCATCCCTCTCGGGGTCTGCGGGAGGTGGATTCTTCTCTTCAGTGGGTGAATTATTTTTCTTTTCGTTCGCCAGCACTTCTTTGCGTTTCTTCCATGACTTGCGCAGATTACCCAGAGTCGGTTTTGAGTCGCCGTCTAGACTAGGCTGTCGGCTTATTCCGTTGCTGAAAAAAATTACAAAAATATTTTAACATTCTTATTTTGTAATTATCGAAGAAGACATCATAGCCAGATAAATCTCAATGCATATGAATTCTGTTGTAAAGTAAAATGTCAACGGCCGCATCGAATAAACATTAAGAGTATTCTTATAATGTTTTTCATATTAAGATATCTTCTATCAAAAGGTAAATTTATATATATAAATAAATTTTTATCTTTGACTTTGTTAGATATTAGTATATTCATATTTTATAAGGGCTTCGAGATATTAAAAAAAAAATCTTTAATGTTTACTTTTGTTCACTTGCATGTTTATCCGATGCGGCCATAAATGAAGCGACATGTGGATAAAGTGTTGAACATCAAACTTATTAAGCAACAAATTAATAGTAAACTCGCCCAGTGTTTTTGTTTTATTTAGGTGCATTTAAATTGGCATAAAAGTTTGACAAACGGACGGAACATGTTTAAAATGTGGTTTTACACATTAAATGACAATAAATTATATAAAGTAAAGAAAAACCCTACAATTTTTGTGAAATAATCCAAAGCAACCATAACAATTTCGTTCTACATGACTTGGACGTGTTTGAATACCCATAAGTTAAGATTATCTTTTTTTTTTTAAATTTTTTCCTTAATTATTATTATTACCTTTCACCATTTTCTTGCAATTGTAATCGAGAAGCACGCGCGCTGAGCGCTCGGCACGTTTCCCTGATATTGTCCAATAAACATACTAAAAGCTCGTGTGCGTCTTGTTGCCTATTTCCTAAATAAATAAATAAAAAAATTGTAAATAAATTTAAATTTCGCATAGCAATTAATTGTACACAACAATTTTTAGAGTATTTTTCTAAATCACTAGCGAACAAGTTAAAATGGAATAGAAAAAATGAAAATATTAGTGCATAAAAAATATCAATTTATTACCTTCAAATGTAGAATTAACATCTCTAAGCGCAGCAAGGAAGGCATCGGCGGCGTAGGGCTCTGGACTAGCGTCGGCATTATTACTGTTCATACATTTGCTTTCGGCTGCACGCAAGTTGAAATAGGTTTCATGCAATTTTTCTGTTGCCACCTGTTCAAATCAATGTAATGAGAAAATTATAATAGTATTTTATATGCAGCATTGTAAACATATTTTAGGTACCATTGTTTTTGTAGAAAAATAATAAAATTTTAATTACTTAATAAAAATTTATTATGACAAATTTGTTTGCAAATAAAAAGCTCACTTTTACAGTAAATAAATATGCGTTTATACATGCGCGAACTTTCTTGCAGTGGCTTTATACTAGTTATCTCTACATTCATAGTTAATTAACCTCTGTTGACTAGACTACAATATTCAAATTCTTTGCAGCCTTCTAACTGCAGAAGGTGGTTGTTGCTAGTGTGTGCTTGTTTTCAATTATGTAAAATTTCAACTAAATTAACTGCATGGTCGCAATATCATATAATGCCCTAAAGTTGAATACAGTATTAAAACTTACCTGAATTTTACTTTTCCCAGAGCTGTTATCTGATTGTCCGAGAGATAACAGGTCTTTGCTACTCCATGATCTGGCTCCAGATGAGGCTAAGCCAGCTGCACTACGACCTAACGAAGAACTCTTCATTCGGATACTGCCCAGCTTTTGTTCAACACTGGCAAGATCTGATACAAGATGGTGGAGATTGTGGAGAAAACGGGGTGCATATCTGAAATTAAAACAAACTTTCAAAAAGCGTTCTTTCTAAACCTTCAAAAATTAAAACAAAAAGTTCACAATAAATAATATTATGAGAAGTTATGATGACAAAATAATAGACAAATATAGAGGTTTATATAATTTGAAAGCATATCACAACAAGGCGAAACAGTTTCAACTAGGAGACAAAAAAATACTTTAACAATGCTCCAAAATCCAGTAGTTGAAAAGAATTAAATGTTATGGCACTTGAAATATGATGTTAGTGTAAATAAGTAAACACTAGCAAAGGCACTGGCTGCAATAAAGTTTCCCCTTGTCCGATTGTGCCCTGATTTTTTGTGTGTTACCTGTAGTTTTTGTGCGTTTAGAATGCATACTGCTTGTTAGTTTTGCAAGTGAAAAGAAGTATGCATAATAAAAATGAACAATGTCATTGCTCAGAATGTTACCTACTACCTACCTACCTACCTAATTCTCTCAAAAACATAAAGACTTATTAAATGGTTCTACACATTTCAAATAATGCAATAACATCAAAGAATTATATCTTAATTTACCGTAAAGTATATAGAACACTGTTGAGGAAGCAAGTGTTTCCCAGGTTGGACAGTGTGCCAATTGGAGTCTTTTTCTGTGGAGCTCCATACTGATTATCTGACTGGTGGTGGCCATTCAACATGGCAAAGCGGGCAGGTTTAGATTCAACAATTATCAGCTCAGCTTGAGGAGATTTTTCTGCAATTATTTTCCACAGATGAGAAATTGTTAATAGACAAGAAAGCATATCATTGAGCAATTTTTTTTTTGCAATTTTTGATGAAATTACTTAATCAATCAACTACCTATTCAGTTCATTTAATTTTTTTGGAACATCAAATAGTGCAAAATTATGAGGACATAAAAAAGTAGTAACACTTAGGAAAAATTATCTTATTTAAATAAATACTTAAGATCTTAGAAGAATTGAGAAGTCTAATGTAAATATGTTTTGTTATTTCTATTTTTAACTTATCTGTGATAAGTCTGATAAATTTATCTATGACATAATACAATTCTCACCAGAGCCAGCAAAATATAATCTAAAAACCAGTAGTAACCTGATGATGGACTCACAAAGTACTCTTAAGAAACATCTGTATTTTTTATGTACAGGTAACATTTTTATGTACATTTAACAGCACACCAGGTTATACAAATCTGTCATATTTCTTAAATTGAAGGGTAGAGTTGAAAATAAGTTGTGATAATTTGACATAGTATTAATAATGCGTGTGTACATGACAAAATGAATTCAAAAGACGATTCCTCCATCTCTGTAGAGATTTAGGGAAAGTTTTAAGAAAATATGGATAAATCTTTAGCATATTATAGAAAGTTCAAACTTTTGCACACTTTTTTGTGATTCTGGCTTTTTTGGTTACAATATTTATTTTTGTTTTTACCAAGATAAAAAATAATTCTACATAATTTGTGAAAAAAGGAAAACACTCAGACTATTTTTATTCTTTAATACAATACAATACAACTCATCACAGCCCAGACACATAATGGTGTGATAAAAAATGTACATACTACACGCAGGGACTAATAGTCTAAGGTAACATATAAAAATAAAATATCAGTCATTACCTCATTGAATGGTGATAACTTTATTATAAAAAGAACATTTATAGAGATTATATGAACATCAGTGGTCCACCAAATAATTTTCAAGACACAAACTTCAGGTTGACTTTAGTGTTGTGAAACCTTGTTTTACAATTGGTTGCCACACCACATACATACTAGGGCTAGCCTAGTTCATGTCAAGCATAATCAATTCCAAAGTTTTAAGAAGGTCTAGTAACATACCTGTAGGTTTTGATGTTTCAGCAAGTGGTTTTAACCTTTTGGCAACACTCAGGGTATTAAAGTATGTACTTTTCAGGGGACGTTTCACTGGTTTGTTTTCTTTATTATTGCTGATGGAAGATTTTATAGGTTCACTGTTCTTTTTTGATTCACTAAGGTTTTTATTGACGTTACTCACACATATAGCATTATTTCTATTGAGCGACAATGAAAATCTGGATTTCTCTATTCCTCTTTTCGTTTCAGATACGGAATTAACTGGCATCTTCAGAATACCTGTAATTAACCGCAATAAGTACCATTTTATAGGCTAAAAGTAACTTTCCCTGAGACGTTATGCCAGGAAACTATTGCTATTAACATGTTACATAGTATTACTTACGGAAACGTCTTTATTAGATTCATTGACTTACATCATATAGTAAGACAACGTTTCGGAAACAAAAATTAATAAATAAACTGGGATTTTGCGAACATCAACCGCGAACAACCCCTTTCGTAGCAGTCGGCCATATTGAATTATTTGATTGATGTGATGTGGTAACGTTCCAATTAACTAGAATTTAGTATTTTCTAAGAAATGTTAAAAAAAATTTTTTAACAAACCAAGCTATTTCTAAAACTGAAATAAGCTCAAATATTTGTATGAATATCTTAATAATAAAAAACATATCGTTATAAAATAATATAAACATATCTAACAAAGTCGCTTCTTGCCGTCTGTACGTTAAGATATTTAAACTACACAACTAATTTCAATTTATAGAGTTAGACGGTCGCTATGCAGATCTAATTTGCTCTTCTTTTCTTATTCCATACTTGAGTTTCTTAAAACACACTAAATTTATAAATAAAATCCCTTTTTCGATTAAAATCGCTACACGTGTTGTACCCGCTATTAAAGGAAGATAGTGGGATAATTATGATGATGTTAACATAATGCAATTCCATTTTAACTAAATACTTTTAATTAAATAAGTTAGTCTAATTACTTTTTAATGTAGTTTGTACAGATTAGTAGGTTTTATGGTCTGTAATTTAGAGCAATTAAACTCAAACTCGAACCTCAGAGGTTACAATAAAATATTTCTTTAGAAATTTTAGATTACAATACATTGTTACGTCGTGCAAGTCTCTCGGCCTGATGTGGATTAATGATAATATTGATGTAATTTAAAATGTTCACTTTAAGGTGTTTTCATTCAAATAATCATCATATTTGGAGTCGGGTGTTGGATTTTTGGTGGGATAGATCACTATACAGGATAACAGGAGTTGACGTTAGCTTCTTTACATTACCCATTGCAAGGGCTCGGCAGATCGACTCTCGCTATAACTATAGCCATAGCCAAAAGAATGTTGATCCGACAAAGCAAAACTAGGCGGTTGCTCTGAAGTCATTCTTTATGGATGGTTAAGGAGGATGGGCCATAACCCTCCAAGATGGGTCAATGCGAATAGAAGGGTTTTAACCAACCGCTTAACGTGCCTTTGTTTTTGACATGAATACGCAAGAGTCTTGTGAATTCATACATTGCATTTTTATTATTTATAAGTCAGAATTCTTTGGTAAAAGTAGTTTTAGCGAGGGAACACATACGGATCACTTCCCTGCTAAGAACTTTCTTATTTTCCATCAACTTTTAATTGGTTAAATGCTGCAAAGAAGGGATTTATTACTGAATACTAGGCTGTACGGACTCAACTCCTTTTTCTTATATTGATATAAAAATGTAAGACATAGACTACAGAAATTATTTATCGCTAGTTTCCACTATTATCATAAGGACTATATTATGTTCCACGCAGATGGCTAATCTATGTCAAAGTTTGCTGAGATAGGAATATGGTGAGGAGTACATTCAATACTAAAAGTGAAAAGTGTTTTTATATTAAAGTATTACAAGTATCAAGACGTCTTTATCATTTTTCTCCAATGTTATATAAATTAAAGTTTCCCGAAATGCCATCAGATACATCATCTGGTAAACTTATAAGCGTTTTCAATATTCACATTTAAAGTAAGTCAGAATCTTCTAAAACAATTCTGTGATCCAAAAGAAATACAGTTTACCTTTTTCGTGTACCTCTAAACTCAAAAGTGGATCGAAAGCGATATTTTTAAAAGTGTTAAAGTTGTGTAATTAAACATAATTTTGACATAATTAAAGTTCATAATAACTAAGGCAATTTTTTTGACATTTCCTATCATTTTAATTTAATGTGCAGTCGGCAAGTTAATAGAAATTCTTCAAATTTTAAACATTAATATTTTGAGGATAGAGTTTTAAGCGCCTTCATAGACCAGTCAATATTTTGGGTATGTTCCGATATACACTGCGACCACTGAACAGTATGACGTCAATTTAGTATACTGGAAGCTCGTTCCTTTATAGCTAGTAATACTGGTGACTTTTTAAAACGGAACGCAGTCCAGTATACTGTTAATCCTATTTTTGGCGCCATTTTCAAATTTGTTAATGCAAGGTGAATATAAATATAAAGATTCCCTCTTTTCAAAAGAAAATATTATAAAATTGTATAAACAAAATATTTATCAATCAAATCCATCTTATAATAAACGTAAGTATTTTATTTTATCTGTTTCGACTGATCACGTGGTCAAAAGCACTGCGAGCACTGCACCTCGAAATCTCCAGTGCTCACAGTACAAATATGGCGGCAATTCATGACGTCATAAATTTCCCTACGGTACTGTAGCAGTATACTGGCAGTCCATAACGGAACGGATTTTTCAGCAGTAAGACCACTGCGCAGTGCTCGCAGTGTATATCGGAACATACCCTTTATTCTACGTCGCTCGGATCCATGAGGAAGTATTTAAAAAAAAAAAATTAGTTCCCGAAATCAAACAAGATGTCGCTACGGTACGTTCTTGATTTTTCCATGACAACCCTTCTGGTTTTCTTTCATGTTTAAAAGTAAATTAGTTTGCAAAATGCAATAAACAACTCATATTCTATTTGTGCCTTTTTGTGTTTGTATTGATATCCAAGTATCGAAATTTTCAAATTTCAGTTTTTTAAAATAAATTAATAAATTTGACATGTTGGGTAATCTGACGTGTAGCCGTGTGTGACGCATACAAAGTAATGCAAAATATGTAGCGCTGTATTGACGCGTATTTGTTGTGTTTTGTTATGTATCGTGTGGCTGTATTGACTAAATAAAAAAAAGTCAAGTGCGAGTAGCACTAGGGGTTCCTTACCATTACCTGTAAAAAAACTAAAATAACACGTTTGTTGTATGGTGCCGCCCTTTTAAATATTTATAATAATAATAATAAATTTATTTTAGGTATTATCTAGTGTTGTAACGATTCTCTTAAAATAATGTTAGTAAACAAAGTTAGTAAATATTTCAAATAAATTTTAGTAACATAATTTCATTTACCCTATTATAAAATTATTTTGTGTGTGATATTGTAACCACTTCTGTAAGAGGGACAAATCCCACCGATCAACAAAAACCCTGAGCATACCACTGGTATTACTGCGTAAACGAGTCAGTGCAGAGGCGCAACGTTTCCTCATAATGGTGCTGAAACCATCTATCTATACGAGCCACCGCAAACATACAAGAAGCACTACATCACCACGGTAACTCCAGTAACAGTCTTGATGCATTATTATATTGGACTCGCAGATAATCGAAAGTCCGCTGCGTGTAGTTAACCAACAAACCGCACGTATAAAAAGACGGTATGTTTTGAAAATAGTTAGTTTAACGGATCTAGTACAACGCGCAAACCTGCGAGCCAGAATATTACAACGTACAGCCGATGATCTGCGCTCCCTTTCTATGTTTAAATTGTCTTTCACGTTCTCCATTACCCAATGACTCAGGTACTGAAAGGTCTGAACTCGCTTTATTGTTTCCCGACATAGTCAGATTTCCGGTAGTTTGTGGTAGTTTATGGTACCTTATTTAAATAGCATCCACTTACTTTTCTGGGTGTTATATTTTAGTCCCTGAACCAGAGTAACTACATCAACTCGGACAATTTCAACTGTGTAACTATGACTTTCATGAGATGTAATAGCCTTGTGACAGATGAACAGACAGGCGAAAGAAGAGTGGAGTTTTAGTAATAGGGTTCCGTTTTTACCTTTTGTGTACGCAACCTTAAAAAATAATTATAAGAGACTTAAGTTTTATAAACACGATTGACTAAAAAGTTTATTTTCGTAATTATGATAGTCTTCTTCCTCTTATGTACTCGTATAAAGATTCCTAGTGGACCACAGAAGACTAAAAGCAAATTTAATTATGGAGTTTTTAAGTGCCATATAAAATATTCATTTATATTACACGTTATCATTTCCAAAATAGGGGTAAAATAAAACAGGAAAATTATCTGCACATTATTAATCTTCTAACAATTTAAAATGTTCCTCTAGCCAGGTAGGGAGCTCGTAGCGACCAGCAAATTTTACATGTAGCCCAAACAAGGGATGTTTCTCCTTTTCATTACAAATGGATGTAATTATTCAAGTCAGCTTCCAGATTAGCTCGAATAATCAAATTGAATAGGTGAATCCAGCGTCCGTTGCCATCATGAAATCTGAATTCACGTATCGAGGTGGAATATAAATGAAGGTATAGAATTAAATATATGCAGTCAATAATGTATGTATTTCCTAGGTAGGTAATAGTCAAACATAATCACTGAGCTGTATGTATATTTTTTAAACTTTTGTCGTTATTATACTTAATATAATTAACATGGTTTTCATTATTTTTGTTACAACAGTTGCACAAATGGTGTCTCTAGTTGCACAAATGGTGTTGCTAGTTGCACAAATGCTTTAATGACGACTTTTAAATTTAAAAAAAATTTCTAGTTTTTAGAATTTATGTATTTGTAAAAACTTCCATTACCTTTAGTACGAGTTTGTTTTAAAACTATTTGATTACTATAAACTGTATAGTATATTGTTTATAGTTGAGGTTAAAATTTATGAAGCATCGAATTTAATAGAACGAACTTACAGCTTTTGTTAAATCTCTTTAACAAAAAAGAAAAATAAAAGAAAAAGACAATGGCGCAACGATCCTCAACGTATCCAAATTGGATCCAATCTCGAAATTTACTTTGCATCTAATCTATTCACGAAAATTCCTCTTCGGTTGTGTCGCTGTTGACAAAGCAGTCATGGTCATGATGAGACACCATTATTGGTCTTTAGTATGACCTAACTTTTCTCGTAATCGATTCGTTTCGTTCGTGTTTGCTTGTATATTCCTTCAAAAGGTACATTTACCTATTAACCAAGTAATTCTCAAAACTGTAAAACTACAACAACACATTTCGAGATTTATTTCAATTCTTATTATTTATTTATGTATAATGGAGCGGTACGATGTGTAAATGGTTATTATTTCAGAATGTATAAGCCAAAATCACAGATGAACACTTTTCGAAAAGAATCCAACGAGACTTTATGATTTCCAACTTTATAACTCACCAGCTTTTATTTACAAATTAGATAGGGGAGAC